CTGCGGTCCTCGGTTTCAGGGTCAGTCCTCCGCATGTGCATGGCCTCGTTTTGAGGCATCTGCAGCAAAAAGGCCCCCTGTCCCTCATGTCTTGGCCCTCCTACTTGATGTCCCCTGCCAGAGTCAAGGGCGTAGAAAACGCCCCTACCCTGGTTTACGAGGCGCTGTGCGCTGAACCTCCTGTGGGCTCACAGGGTAAGCCCTGCGTGATGTGCGGCGTCCTGGCGGCTCCCTAGGCTTTGGGGGCTCCCAGGAGGTTTACAGACCCGCTTACTTGTAACTCAGGGCAGGGTCGTTTTCTCATCCCTTGACAGGACCTGGGGCACTGTTATGTTCCAGCACCCCCCCTGCTCGGCAACGCCCAGGGCAGGGGTGGGGGGAGGGGCCGAGGGCGCCGGGATGCTCTGGCTCGGCGTGCCGCTCCGCTGGCTTTGGCCCACCGCGCTGCGGCGCGGCACGCGGTGCACGCTCCCACTTGGATCGCCGCGGGGGTTGCTAAGAGGATAGGGGAATACAAGTGGATGCCAAGGTGGGTTCGATCCAGCCTAACCCAGCTCAGAAGTGGTTTGCACGTGCCCTAAGCGGCTTAAGGGCGTACAGATCTGGGCTAAGTGGGCGGAGCCCACTTCGCGGAGTCACCTCATCATTCTAAGCCACATAGGGCACTTGTAACCCACTTATACGGTGGCTTAGGTCAGATAAAACCACGTTAGCTTCCACTTCTAACCCCCCCGTCCCCTTAGCAACCACCGCGGCGATCCAAGCATCCTCATGGCGCCAACATCGCAGAGCGGATTTCGTTTTGAAAACGAGAGGATGTGCCTGGAGTGTCCTGGAGAGAATGTCGTTCCGGATGTCGAGGTGAACTTCGTGCGGATTTTTGTTGGCCAGGAATGAAGACCAAAAAAAACACATTCGAAATTCACTTCGTTTTTCACTCGCCGCTTCTGGGTTTTGCATTGGCAGATATCCACGCAAAAAATCCGCAGCAGCACGTCTGCAAGGCGGGTGCAGTGACCATTCCTGCGCGTCAACGTCCCGAGCCTTTCGCGCCCTCCCGCCCCACGGAGCGGAGCGACACGCTATCCGCACGCAAGGCATGGCGTCTCGCTGGGGCCGCCGCGGCGACACGCTGTCCAAACGTTCCCGACCGTGGGGGATAGGTTCGGGTGGGGTTCGAGGTTCAGGTTTTCTCACGCTTCCTTCCGTTCTCGGCGGTCCTTCCCAGCCTCGGGGTGCGTTCCGGCAGCTGCGCCTCGCCGAGAGCTTTCTCAGAGGGGTGCCGGGAGATCCTTCCGAGCCCCGAGAACCGGAGGGGGCAACGGCAGGGGGGGCCTGGGCTCAGGGGGGAACTTATGGAGGACGGGGATGGTGGAGGAGGAGGAGGAGGAGGAGGAGGAGGAGGAGGACGAGGAGGAGGAGGAGGAGGAGGGGAGGAGGAGACACCCGATCGCCCATGGATCGCCGATCGGGGCCCGATAGCCCCTCCCCCCCCAGGAGCGCGCGGCTTCGCCCTCGGGGGCCTCTCTGCCGATCCATCGGCGATGCGTCGGCGACGCCGGCTCGCAGCTTCCCCCCTTGAGCTGGTCCAGAAGGCGAAACCCACCCCCACCCCCACCCCCAGTCCCAGTCCCGACGCCCATCCCCAGACTATTTTTGACTATTTTTGACTATTTTGACTAGTTTTGACTATTTTTGACTATTTGCCGATCCATCGTCTCCAGACTATTTTTGACTATTTTTGAATACTCCTCCTGTAGAGGGACAGGCTCGACATAAGGCGAAAACCCACCCCCACCCCCAGTCCCGACGCCCATCCCCGAGGCGGCGACTCGGGGAGTCGGGACTGGGGGTGGGGGGGGGTGTTCTCCAGTCCTGGACCCCGAAAACCCACCCCCACCCCCAGTCCCGACTCCCCGAATCGTGGGCTCGGGGATGGGCGTCGGGACTGGGGGTGGGGGTGGGTTTTCGCCTTATGTCGAGCCTGTCCCTCTACAGGAGGAGTATTCAAAAATAGTCAAAAATAGTCTGGGGACGATGTTGTGAGTATGTTTGAGCATGTCTGGTGTATTTCTTGACTGTGTTAAATTTGTCGTCCAGAATCGGCCTGTAGGGGGACACGCCCGACCTAAGGCCAAGCCGGCGATCTAAGCGTTTCAAACAGCCTGAGAGGGACACGAAAAGTGCGAAAACCGTTGGCATCATCGTCGCCAAGTTCCTCGGCATCCTTGTCATCTTTATTGTTCCGCCGACGTCATCACCGCCGTCATCACCAACGCCATCACGACACGGAATGATGCATCACATGTCACGGTGCCCCCAAACTTCGGGACGGGGCGAAGCAATAGAACGAGGAGGCAATGCCAGCGGCAAGAAGGGCCAGGATCAGACGAGGGAGCTTGCACAGGGCGGCGCTGGTCGGCCTACGCTTGGGGCCTGGGCCGAGGGGAGGCGGCTGGGCTGCTGCTGGGGGCTACCCGGCAGGCTTTGAAGCGCAAGGTGCGCCGCTCACATTTGTCTCGTGCCTTGCTTTTGTCAGGAGGGAAAGAAACACACAGACACAATTAGGGGGAAGACAGAAACCCAGAAAATATATAGGAAAATATGGGGATTTCTTTTAGTTGTGTGTATTTATTTGTGTGTCTCGTGCCTTGCTTTTGATATTGCTGTTGGGGCGTTCCAGGCGGGGCCTCGCCTCTGGCGCGCCCCCGCCGCCGGCGGACGTTGGCGGGAGCATAACGGCGGCGGCCTCGCCGGCGAAGGCCCGGCGGAGAAGGCGGCGGCGAGTTGTGTGGTCTGCACCCGACCTCCTCGCGCGGTGAGAATCGGGGGAACGCAAGACCCGAGTAAGCCGGAACTCGAGTTTACCGACGTTTCTTTGACGAGGGCGTCCCGGATTTTGACGGTCCAGTTTTCGTGGGATGTCTGCAGCGGGAGCTCGCGTCAAATTTCAGATTGGGCATCGTCATTTTTATGATGGCCCCGTCGGGCCAACCCGAGTCCCCCGTACCCGAGTCTTACGTCTCCCCGAGAGAAGAACACGACGGGAAATTTGTCGCTGTTTTCGGCCTCCGGGGGCCCTTTGCTGGGCCTCGGGGCTGTCAAACAACGATTCAGGATGAAAAGCCAATAATCACCAGGGAAGGGATCCAGACCTCTGGGGGTCGACGGATGCGAGAATAAACAAGACGTTGGGGGTCTGGGACGGATTGCACAGATATTGCCCTTGCAAGCGCTTTGGTTGAGTGTCGACAACGGGCAGTGTACATGTGCCTGCTCCAGCTTCTCCAGCGAGACATCGCAGTCCTCAGCCAGAGCTCCTGGCCTGTCCTCAAAGGGAGCCCCATATTTCACTCTCAATACGTGCTTGTACCACTCCTGTAGCCTATCGAGCACTCTCTTGGTGACAGCGCGGACCTTTTCGACGTTGACCAGCAGATCGCATTGCACGGCGAGGATCTCACCGAAGTGGCCCCAGCATAGATTCCCTGGAGCTCGCACGCGGGATGAGTGAGGAGCTCCCGCGTGGCGAGGCGGCCCCCGCCTGTCGGAGCTGTTGTCAAGAACCGAAAGCCCAGAGGTTGGCACCAGCGCCAGCAGCGGCTGTTTCCTCCGCCACTGTATGCCGTGGTCCTCCTCCTCCTCGATCCCATTTCTTCCTCCTCCTCCTCCTCCTCCTCCTCCTCTTCCTCCTGCCTGATGCTGACTGATCTCGAAGAGGAAAACTCTGCACAGAGATGCATGCTTGAAGGTCTGTGTAGATCTTTTGTGCCGGCGCTGGACACCCCTACCTGGCGCGTTGAGCGTGCCATGGGCGGCGCCGGGACCCGGGGCGGCGCTGGAGGCAGCGCAAAGCGTTAAGTCGGGCCTGTCCTTCCGCAGGAGGAGTATTCAAAAATTCGTATCAAAAGATCGTCTAGGGACGATTCGTCGAGTAGTTCGGATCATGCCGAGAGCAGTGTTTGTCTGTGCCAAGCGAGCCCAGCGCCCGCCCAAGAGACCCCCGCGTGCCCCGAGAGCGCCTTTGTCCACCCGTCCACCCTGCGACCCGACGCTGCGAGGAGAAGCTGCAGCATCGTGAGCAACAATCACGACCAGACCTCCAGACCTCCTCTCCTCTTCTCCTCCTCCTCCTCCTCCTCCTCCTCCTCCTCCTCCTCCTCCTCCTCCTCGAGTTGGACCGGGACCTATCTTTCGAGTTGGGGATCGTCTACAGAACTGATTTACCCCAAGTTTTCTCGTCGAGTCCACGAGACATGCATAGAGCGCTCGTAGATCGACGAGCCTCGTATTTATTGTTCGTACACTCGGCGAGGAAATCCATGTTGGGGTAGATCAATCATTCAGTCCAACCCCCGACTCGAGTCTCCCTGCGTCCATCTCCGAGCCGGCTCGTCCAGGGAGGGCCTCGCGAGGCCCGCAGAAGCGAGCGAAGGCGCCCGCGGTGAGCGAGCTGCAGCGCCAGGATCTCCGGGCGCGTGGCTGCGGCTCCTTCCGCGGCCTCGTCGGCGTTGCGCGCCCGGGGACGGGCGAGCGAGAGGCGTGGCACGCTCTGGGGGGGGGGGGGGCGGGGCCTCTCGGCAGCCCGCCGGCCTCACGGGAGGCTCTCTGCGGCTTCGGGGAGCCCTCGGCGGCGAGCCAAGGGGATGAAGCAGTGGCGAAGCGTCCCGGCTCGTCTGGAGGCCCACCAAAGAATGGTCCACGAATTTTGTGTTTGCACGAAATGTTCTTAGAACATGTCTGGTTGAGACTGTCTTGTCTTCTTCTTGCTATCACATCGGGCTTATAGTACAAGAACATTGTTTTTGTTTTATGATCATTTTGGGGTTCCAAGAACCTTTCGTGGTAGGACTACAGGAATGCAGGGACGGTCGGTCTCTGCTCAAACGGAGGGAACAGAGGAGGGGCGGGCCTTCTGTGATTCTGACACCCTCCTCCGTGTACCTATTTTGGCTCAAGATGGAAAAGAGATATCTTGTCCATCGGCATAATATATCATCATGGTAGCGTGAGCTGGCCACTCACTGCTGCGACCCCACCAGGGCCTCGGCGCGCGCGGGCGCCACGGCGAGCTGGCAAGGCGCGTGGCCCGAGGCGAGAGGCTGGAAGAGAGCGGCATCAGCCGCACCAAGCACGGCAGAGGCCGGGCCACCGGCAGAGGCTGAGAGGAGACCACCGGCAGAGTCCGGGCGGAGTCGACCGGCAGGAGCCGGGAAGAGTGGCCGCAGGCGCGGCAAGAGGAGCGACGCAGCTGTCGAGAATCGACGACGACAGTTGCAGTTCAAACACGGCCTGAAGGACACGGGCAACAAGCTGCACGACCTCGCGTATATCGAGGACCACCCGTCGGAGAATTCGTCGGGCGCCATCGAGGAGGCGAAGAAGGAGGTCTTAGATCAGATCATAGACCTCGAGCGTACGAGGCAGGAGATCTCAGAGCGCAAGGAGGAGCTCGCCAGGAGACACGCAATCAAACATGGACGAGCAAGTTCGGCAGCAGTTCGACTTGCTGAGGCAGGAGTTCGCAGCCCGAATGAGTCAGACCGTCGACGAGATGAGGAGGCTGGAGAACGAGAATCAACGGCTTCAGCAGCAAGTAGCAGGAGGCCTCGCGGCGATCCCGCAGGCGATCGAGCGCATGGGCGAGCAGATCCGAGGAGCTACGCACGCGGGAGGAGCCGCACCAGGTCTCGTCGACACGAAGGGGATCGGCAAGCCCACGACGCTAGGCGACGATCAGGAGAAGTTCGGAGCTTGGAACCGCAAGATGGAGAACTACGTGATAGGCGTGTACGGAGAGAGCTTCCGTCCTGTTCTCCGGTGGGCGGCAGAAGCCGAACGCCCCGTGACGATCGAAGGGGCACAGGAGGCGCACGGAGGAGTACCAGAGCTGGTGACCAAGATCAACCAGCTGTACGCGGCGCTGATCAGCACGACGGCGGACGGCAGCGAGAGCAACGACCTCGTGACGGGCGCGCCCGACGGGAACGGTCTCGAGGCCTGGCGGAAGCTTCACCGCAGGTGGGACCCGACGACAGGTCCGAGGAAGAGGCTGATCCTGAGGTCGATCATCTCGCCTCCGAAGTGCAACGCGGAAGAGCTGGGGTCCGCCTTAGAGAAGTGGATCCAGCAGATAGGCAAGTACGAACGCCGCCAAGGAGAAGACGGGCTGGCCGAGCTGCCGGAGGATATCAAGATGGCGGCCCTCGAGATGCTCGTGCCTCAGGACATCGAGAACCACCTCGTACTCAACAAGCATCGGCTCGTGACGTTCCAGGACAGCCTGAACGAGGTAATGACGATCGTAGAGGCTCGGACAGGCGTGAAGATCAAGGAGCCATCGATCCGCGCACGGGCGCATCATCCGGACGACATGGACGTCGGATCGTTCGGAGCCCCGAAAGGAAAAGGCAAAGGCAAGGGCAAGGACGGCAAGAGCAAAGGGAAAGGCAAGACCCAGGAGCCGAAGGGGAAGAGCAAATCGACGAGCGGATCATACTCAGGCTCCCGCACATCCCCGACGGGTTCGGGCCGTGGTTCAGGGCACATGGCACCCCGAAGCACCGGCGTGCGCTTCGACGGCTACTGTCGGAACTGCGAGAGATGGGGCCACAAGGCATCCGAATGCTGGAGGAAAGAGCAGGGATCGAGTACGAGGGCTGGAACTGGATCCGCAATGGGGGCAAGCGCTGGTGGTAAAGGGGGCAGCCGCGGTGGCAAGGCCGGCGGCAAGGCGGCAGGCAGCCTGGAGGAGGAGCCTGAAGCGGAGGTCGCCGCTCTGGACATGGGCAGCTTGGACTGCCTGGAGCTCGCCAGCGGCAACGGCCGCGGCGTAGCTGCGGTCGACCTCTCCCCCTTCGTGCAGGACGACTGGATGAAGTTCAACTGGGACAGCGGTGCAGCTGTCTCAGCATTCCCGCGGAGCTTCGCGCCGCCGACGGGAATGAAGGGCAACGGCAGCACGTATCGTACGGCCAGTGGTGAGCTCGTCCCGGACGAGGGCAGCTTGCAGCTCAAGGCGGAGGACGAGTACGGAGTGCTACGAGCACTCAAGGGACGCGTGACGAACGTGCACAAGCCGTTGATCTCGGTGGGGCAGGCAGCAGGAGCTGGACAGTGTTCATTCCTAGGCCGCAATGGCGGCTGGATATTCCACGAGAAGAGCCCAATCGGCAAGCGCGTGGTAGGCATGCTGGAGAAGGAGGCGAAGACGGCGAAGCACCAGATGCTGCCGGTCTATCGTGAGCAGGGCGTCTACAACTTCTACCTCAAGAAGGGCCAACATGGCTCGGTTGCTCCTCTCGAGGAGGGATTTTCGGCGAAGTCGAAGTCCGAGCTGGTGGAGCTACTCAGCGGCAAGTCGAAGGAGGAGCTGCTGGAGATCCTCGAGAGGACAGTCCCCAGGAGGCAGCCCTCGGCGTAAGTCCACTGGAAGACTCAATACAGCAGCCCCCTGCGGCATCGGCTGCAGGGGCGGCAGCGGCGGGGTCGGGACCTTCCGACATGAGACCGCCAGGTTTTCAGCCAGCAGCAGCTGCGGCGGCTGACGCTTTGCCAGCTGCTCCTGATGGACAGCAGGCCGACGAGGGCGAGGAGGAGGCTCGCCCGAGGGTGCTGAAGGCACCTCATGAGCCCTCTCAGAGGGAGATCGCCGAGCACGAGGCGATGGGACACGCGACTTACCGTAGCTGGTGTCGCGTGTGCATTGCGGCAAAGGGCCAAGGCCAGCCGCATCTCCGCGCACCGGAGGACGACGAGACGGCGGTGCCGGTGGTCTCGTCCGATTACGCCTTCATGGGCCAGGACGATGCGGACACCATACCGATGCTGGTCCTTAGGGATCGACGCTCGAAGATGATGGCAGCGACATTCGTGGAGAAGAAGGGCGACGACGCCTACGCCATCAAGTTCTTCGCACGCTTCTTACGGATCCTGGGCTACAGGAAGATCGTCAACAAGTCCGACGGCGAGCCAGCGATCTTGCTGGTCAAGAGGCGCGCGGTGGAGGAGGTTCCTGGCCTCGAGGCCATTCCCCAGGAGTCGGCACCGGCCGATCATCAGGCCAATGGGGAGATCGAGGTCACGGTGCGCGAGATCAAGAAGCAGGTGCGAGCGCTCAAGATGGACCTGGAGTCCAAGCTGGGCGTCAAGGTGGAGGACAAGCACCCAGTGCTAGCGCACCTGCCGGAGCACGCCGCATCGGTGATCAACCGATACAGGCGCGGCCAGGACGGCAAGACCGCTCTTCAGCGGCTCACGGGACGGCAGTGGAGGAAGCCGGTCCCGCTCTTCGGTGAGCGCCTGATGGTGCGGTTCGCCGGGGAGCGCACGAGGAAGAACGCGCTGGAAGAGCAGATGGTGGAGGCTCGCTACATCGGCCACCACCCGCGCGACGGCTCGATGATGGTCATCACGAGCGACGGTGTGAAGAAGGCGGTCGGCTTTCGCAGCCTGCCGCAGAGCGAGAAGTGGATCACGGCGGGCTGGGACAGCCTGAAGGGCCTGCCGTGGGACGTGGCTCCGCGTGCGGCCAGTGCGCCGCGAGCCATCGTCGGACCGGGAGAGGCCGGTCCGCCACCGATTGTGGTGGTGCCGCCGCAGCCGCAGGCGCCGAGGAGGATGTACGTTCTCAAGGCGGACGTCGAGCGGCTGGGCGCAACGCCGGGATGCCCAGGGTGCGTCTCGATCGCCAAGCACGGCAAGGTGCTGGCTGGCCATGCGCACAACGCGGTGTGCAGCAAGAGAATCTTCGAAGCGCTGGACGCTGAGGAGGCAGGCCGGGAGAGGACCGGCCAGCATCGAGAGCGGAGGCAGGGCCAGGAGGCCAGAGTCCGCCCAGCGGCAGCGGCCGCGGCAGGGACCCCTCCGCCGAAGACGGCTCGGAGGATCACCGAGCCGGTGGCAGCGGCGGCGTCGGCGCCGGCCGCGAGCCGATCGGCAGCAGCGCCGGCTGCAGCGGCGCGCATGCGAGAGAGCCAGCCGGGAGCAGCAGGCTCCGGCGTGGCGGCTCCTTCAGGAGGAGCGAGCTCCAGTTCGGGAGCAGTGAGAGCGGCAGAGGCCGCCGAGGATGTCGACATGACCGCGACCAGGTCGCGGCTGAAGCGCTTGGCGGAGGTGGCCCCGGATGACGTGCCGGAGGCCCTCGAGCGCGGTGATCCACAGCCGGCAGACGTGCCGGTACCGGTGGACATGGAGGATCTCGCGGCGCAGCCGGCGCCAGCGGAAGGACCTCAGCTGCCAGCTGGAGTGGCAGTCGTGTGGAACGCCAGTGAGGGGAGACACATGCGGGTGCTCGCTCTCGACGTGGCGTCGATCGAGCTGGTCGAGCTCGGAGTGCTGACGAGGGCGAAGGCGGAGTTGCTCCCGCTCGTTCGCGAACAGGTCAGCGGCCATTGGGCCAGTGTCGGCGTGGACATCGCCGACGAGGAGGTGGACAGCATCGCCTTATCGGCGTTGCAGCTGGGCGCCGTGGACGTGGCAGAAGTGCACTCGCCACATCGGTTCTCGGCTCGGGCGGCGGAGTTTCAGTTGCGCCCGGGCTTCGCGGCGGACCTGGAGGAACTCAAGGAGGACGGGGCGCCATGGGACTTGCGGCGACCCGAGGATGTCAAGGAGCTCGAGGAGCAGCAGGAGCGGATGGATCCCATCCTGCTCACGGGGTCCCCTCCATGCGAGAAGTTCAGCTTGCTGAGGGGCCTGAGCGCCAAGTTCAGGACCGACGAGCAGGAGGCGGCTGAGATGGAGGAGGCCAGACACCACCTGAAGGTGGCAGTCGACGCCTACTGGCGTCAGCTCAGGAAGCCAGGCAGGTACTTCCTGCATGAGCATCCCTGGAGCGCGCGATCGTGGAATGAGGACATCGTCAAGGAGCTGGTCGCGCATCCAGGAGTCTTCACGGTCAAAGGCCCCATGTGTCGGTGGGGCATGAAGCTCACGAACCCACGCAGTGGCCAGGAGGAGTTCGTGCGCAAGGAGACCGGGTGGGTCACCAACCACCCAGGCTTAGCCCGGAGACTGCAGGGCACTTGCAGCAATGTGGACGGCCGCGCGGAGTGGCATCGCCACATCACGCTCGTGGGCGGCATCGCGCGGTTCGCGAAGGTCTATCCACCGAAGTTGGTGGAGGCGGTGCTGGAGGAGCTCAAGGACACGCTGAATGACGTGGGGGAGCTCAGCACCGCCCAGGTGCAGCAGTCGGGCCCAGTCCCTGTGGACGCGGCGGTGCCGCCCGGGGACTGGACGAGCTATTGGGACGACGTCAATGGCGGCTACCTGGAGGCGGGCCTTGTGGCCCAGGCTCGCGCGGTCGAGCGCGAGTGGGTCAAGAAGCAGGAGCTGATCGAGATCGTCCCGAGGTCTCAGGCTTTCGCTGAGACTGGGCGTCCGCCCATCCCACTCAAGTGGGTCGACACGAACAAGGGTGACGCGGAGAGGCCCAACTACAGGAGCAGGCTCGTCGTGAAGGAGATCAAGGCGAAGAAGCGTCCTGACGAGCAGCTGGAGGTGTCCGAGGTCTTCTCGGCAATGCCTCCTCTGGAGGCCATGCGGTCACTGGTCTCGCTGATGGTCACGTGGACGCGGGAAGCACCGCTCCACATTCAGGAGTCGCTTCGCAAGGAAGGGCAGGAAGCCGGGCAACTTCAAGATCGGCTTCTTCGACATCAGCAGGGCGCACTTCTACGGGAAGGCGCAGCGGAGGATCTTCGTGGAGCTGGAGGAGGAGAGTCGCAAGGAGTACGGCGAGGACAAGTGTGGCTTACTCCTCAAGTCCTGGTACGGCACGCAGGACGCCAGCAAGATCTGGCAGGGCGACTACACGGAGCTGCTGGAGGAGCACGGCTACAAGGCGGGCGTATCGTGCCCAGCGGTCTTCTACAAGGAGGAGGACGAGACGAGGCTGCTGGAGCACGGCGACGACTTCGCGGTGCTGGCTCAGCAGCAGGACATCGACAGCTTCGAGGCCACGTTGGGCAAGAAGTACGAGTTCAAGAAGACTGCGAACCTCGGCTTCGACGAGGGCGACGACAAGCAGGCGGTCTTCCTGAATCGGGTCATCGAAGTCAGTGCGGGAGCTCCGCCTGGCGGTGGCCGGCCCTGCCGGCATGCGATGATCGAGCCGGACAAGCGGCACGCAGAGATCGTGATCGACGAGCTGGGTCTCAGCAAGGCCAACGGCGTGGACACGCCGATGGAGAAGCGCAGCGCCGACAAGCAGATGATGGATGCCAAGTCGGCGGCGCTGGGAGCAGCGGAAGCTTCGCGCTTCCGATCCCTCACTATGAGGGTAGCCTACCTGTCTCAGGACAGGCTGGACTTGGCAGAGGCATCGAAGACGCTCGCTAGGTCCATGCAGACGCCGACGGAGGCGAGTTGGCTCATGCTTAAGAGGGTTGGCCGCTACCTCAAGCGGCATCCCAGTACGGTGACGGTCTTCACGGAGCAGAAGATGTTCGACAAGATCCGGGTGTACGTGGACTCCGATCATGCGGGCTGCGCAGTCACTCGGAAAAGTACTGGAGGCTTCGTGGCGATGCTGGGGCATCACGTCATCAAGCACGGCAGTAATCTTCAGTCGACGGTCTCTCTGAGCAGTGGGGAGAGCGAGTACTACGCCCTGGTCAAGGGCGGGAGCGTGGGCCTGGGTCTACACAGCCTCTTCGCAGACTGGGGGCTGGACCTGAAGGTGGAGCTCGCCTCAGACTCATCGGCGGCCCGGGGCCACGTCCAACGGCGAGGTCTCGGGAAGATGCGACATGTTCAATCACGATACCTGTGGATCCAGGAGCGCGTGGGCAAGGGCGACCTCTCGATTGCCGCGGTTCCTGGTAAGAACAATGTCGCGGACGTGCTGACCAAGAGCGTGGGTGGATCTCTCTTGAGGAGACACATGGCGACGCTCAACATCTGGGATCGGGCACCGAGTTCGACCCAGAAGGATATCAAGTGAAGGAGTGGATCGAATCCATGCTCCGCTACCTGTGGGGCTGGATGAGTTTCCGCCGGTGGCGGTATGATCGCACCGGACGGGTGAAGTGAGGGGCTCGCGGCATGGCCGCAGCCTGGCTGACGAGATGGGCGCGTCGGCTTGGACGCGCCCGCGTGTGACGTTGAGATGGGCGTGTCGGCTTGGACGCGCCCGCGTACGACGCATGTCGTGCCTGGCCGGGTTGGCGGCCAGGCCCGAGGAGGAGTGATTCTGACACCCTCCTCCGTGTACCTATTTTGGCTCAAGATGGAAAAGAGATATCTTGTCCATCGGCATAATATATCATCATTCTGCATGAGGACAATTACCGGGTTGGGAGGATAGGGTTGAGAGAAGTGGGGATTTCATTACTCGTAGGCGGCCGAAGGTATCGTGCACTGCATCCGGATGCTATTGCTCATGCCTCATGCCCTTCATCCTCCCAACGCATTCTCGTCCTTCATCTCAGCACGATAATTGTTCTCCTCATCTCGGCGGCGACCCCGGGGGGGGAGAGAACTTCCGAGAAGTGTCCTAAGCCTTCGAGGCCAGAGGCCCTCGGAGAAGCCCCGCCGCCTTCCGAGGAGGCCCTCTCTTCCTCGCTTCCCCCCCCCGCTCGCTCGCCGCCAATCCACCGCGCGGGCGCCGCCAGGGCAGCCGGGCTGCTGGTTCAACGCCGACGCGTACTCGGACCGCGCTGGCAGGGGGGGGGCGAGGGGCGTGGCGCGGGGCAGCCAGGGGCAGCGACTGGCCCAGGGGGGGATCGGGGGCAGTGTTGGGGATCAGAGGCGCGGGGAGCAGGGGCAACGCTGGGGGGGGGAGGGGGGGGGAGCAGGCTCAAAAGGGGGGCTGGTCAAGTTTTGGGGCTCGAGGTTCCGGCTTTTAGGGCGCTTTCGGCCGTCTTCCGTTCGGCGGCTTCCCAGCCTGGGGACGCATGCCAGCAGCTGCGCCTCGCCCAGAGCGCTCGGGGGCGCACCGGATCGTCCCGAACGGCCGCTGGAGGCCTGAGTTGCGACCCGAGAAGAAGGGGGACGAGACGAGGATCCTTGGGCGGCAGAGGCTCAGGGGGTGGACGCGCGGACCCCGAACTCGCCCCTTCACCGGCAACCCAGGCCTGGCCCCTCCACCCCACCCCGCCCCGGAACGCGCCACAATTCGTTCTCGGGGGCCCATCCCTCGTCGATGCGTCCCCCAGTCCAGGCCATCTGTGTGTGTGTGTGTGTGTGTGTGTGTCCCCCCTGAGCCCGTCGAGCTGGTCCCCCCAATCGATCCCACTCAGGAGCGAGGGCCAGGCAAGACCTAGGGTGAGGAGAAGTCGATGCAGAGCGTTCCGGAACGCTCTGAGAGCAAGCCAGAGCGTGCTGGAAGGGCTGTGGCGCCCGATGCACCCTCCAGACCTAACGGTTCTCAGAGATTCCCGATCGATCCTCGTCTGATGATATCCTCATACACGTCCGTCTTTGAAAGCAGTTCCAGATCCCAATGTACTTCAATAATCGATCGAGAGTGCTGCGTTTCGTTATTCCCTGGGAGGGCATGAGCCCTATGTATTTTTGTTCCGTGCTCCTACTTCATGTGGTTATTTGTTTCGTTCGACCGACGTGCATTGCCTTCGCCTCAGACGGGGGTGCACGTTGGCTGATACAGCTGAAACCCCATGGGGGGAGGCGGAGTGGTGGCACAGGTTGTCGTGCTGCAGGACGTTCCTCCAAGCGGCTTCTTCGACCGTGGGTTTGACTGCGCGAAGTGAGAGCCATTGAAAAAGGCAGGGGCCGAGGAGGGGGAGGAAGGAGCAAGAGGTGACGAGGGACGAGGAACAGGGAGGGAGCGACAACGACAATAACTGGTGACTGCATCACGCAGGGAGTCTGGAGGGAGGGAGGGAGGACAAGGAGAAGGAGGAGGTGGAGGGACCAAAGCAACCCCAGGAGCAGGAGGAGGAGGAGGAGGAGGAGGAGGAGGATGGGGGGGAAGGGGAGAACAGAGAGGAGGAGGAGGAGGAGGAGGAGGAGGAGGAGGAGGAGGACGGTGGAGGAGGAGGAGGAGGAGAAGGAAAAGGAGGAGGAGGAGGAGGGTGGAGGAGGAGGAGGAGGAGGTGGGGGACCGGGTAGGAAGGGGAGGAGGGGGACGAGGAGGAGAAGGAGGAGGAGGAGGAGGAGGAGGAGCGGGAGGAAGTCGAGAACCCCCCTGCAGGACGGCCCCGACGAGTGACGGAGGACGGCGACGCCCGTGTCGCCGTGGTTGGTTCAAGGCCGACCGCACGGCGCGCGGCCCGGGCGGGCGCGGGCGCGGGCCCGAGGGCCCGGATCGAGGCGCACCGAGGTGCCGCACGGAACGCCACGGACTGCATCGAGGTGCTGGGACGTCCACGGCGCAGATTACGTACTCCTCTCGACCTTCGCTGCGCGAACAGCTTCGCCGCCAAGAAGGCATCATCACTTACACCCGGCGCGAACACGTTCACAGTTTACGATATCCGATTGGAAGATGGAGCACTTCCAGCTGGAGGTCATGGGCAGCCTGAAAGTACCACCGGCCTGGAGCCCCGAGCAGGATCGGCAGTATCCCTTCAGGTTCTGGATTACGGATGTGACTACGTGGGCGGCGGCTGCGGCGAGAGAAGTACTACCTGAATAACGAGCGCCTGCAGTTGCCCTTCGCCTTGGAGGAGCAGCACGAAGCTTGGCACGAGAAATACCGCAGGAGCAGCTACGAGATGGTGCAATTGCTGATCCAGGCGCCGGACAAGGCGCACGACAGCTATCAGGGCTTCAGCTGCTACTCGTGTTGTCAAAGTCTTTCGCCCCGCTTGGTGACGAGAGCGAGAGCAGAGCAACCAGCGACCTGCTGGGCTTCTACAGGAAGATGCACGAGAGTATCGACCAGACGCTGAGCAGGCTCGAGGTTACGCGACGTCGAGCAGCAACCCTGGAGGATTTTGGATGGGAGCCCAAGGCTACGCGTGGATGTTGCTGAATGCCTTGGGCTGTAGCCCGGCCGAGTGGAATAAGTTGCGGATGCACTTCAGAGGCCATCTACCTCGGACGGAGCAGGTGTTCAACGAGTTGGTAGAATACTTACGGCGATATGGACACATATAGGAGAAGGGCCCGATGTCGATGAACCGACATGCCAGAGGCAAGGGCTCGGGCAAGGGCCCATGCCAGGGCAAGGGCTCGGGCGCGGACAGGGAACAGACCAGGATGAAGAGCCACATCCCGGAGGAGGCATGGCGGCAGCAGCTTATCAGCCAGGACAATCATCGAGCTGGGTACCTACGACTTCGTGGACACCTATGGCACCTCCGCCGGATCCGTGCCAGGGATACTTCAACAACAGCGGACAGGACGATGACAACGATACGGACACAGATGAGGACGATAGCGAGGACCTGGACGGATCAGACTTCCCAGGGCGGATGGGCAAGCACGACGACGTCACCCAGCAGTACCTGTACCAGAACTACGCGTTGCACAAGAAGCGCTGGCGGCGATTCACCGGGAGACCCACCAGTTACCAGCGATTCGGTAAAGGCAAGAGTAGAAAAGGATCATTGATACCGCTTCGCGGCAGCAGTGGCGTTTCCGGCCAGCGACACCAAGGCGGCGAGGGATGCCACTTCGAAGGGGGGCGGCGCAATCGGATAGGACGAGACGGCAATGTCATGAAATGTCTGACGAAGGCTGCGTGAGCGAGTCCCACCTGGCCAAGGATTGCCCGCGCCGGCAAGGACGAGGAAAAGGGGGCAAAGGATCGTTTGTGGCCAACGGACCGCGGCCTCGGTCTGGATCAGGACAGTCTGCGCCTTGGTTTGGTTTCCACGCTGGACAGACGGTGAGTTCGGGAACTACATTGCCGACGCTCGCTTCAGTCAGCCCCCCTGCTTTCGGATCAGGATGGGTAAGCTTCTACGCGCCGCAGACGAAGATGAGAAACCAGAGCGACGACAGCGCGATCAGGCACAGCGCGAGTGGGGAGGGCCTCCGAGGCTTTACAGGCGCGGGTATCGCACCGGCAGCTCCCACGGCGATCGAGGACTACCGACCGGACGAACAGGGGCCAAGACCGAGGACCCACGATATAGGGCCCCCTGCCGGTACGGTAGCAAGTTCATGGTCGAGCAGCGGACCGATCTTTCCGTCGATTCCGATGCCGACATACAGCTCAACAGCGGCGAAGATCGGTGGACCAGGATACGCGGAGTTTCAAGCGACCCTGCCTAGGATTCAGCGAGATGACGGCCACGTCGAGCGCGGCGCCTTTAGGACGGCCCTTTGGTCTGGAGCATATATTGGGACTGTCTTTGACCAGGGTTCCGACGGAGACCGACGAGGACGAGAGGCCAAGGGCAGCGTCGGAGACATCAGCGACCGAGAACGAGGACGCAGAGTCGCAGGACGCGCAGGCCATCAACGTTGGAGGTCTGTCTTTCAGTCCAGTGCCTGGAAAAAGCTCGGATGACCAACCCCGCGAGCGTCGGCGCAGTGGTTCTCGCGGCTCGATGGCAAGCTAGGACGCCTCGGCAAGCAACCCTGGAAGCGCGACGGAACCCACCGCGGAAGCAGAACAGCAACCGACCATTCGACCTTCGACCCGGAGACCTTGGACACAGAAAAAAGGAACAAATAATATATATATATATATATATATGTATATAGAAATGGCCCGGACGCCAAGGACAATAAGTTCCCGAGTACGACGAGAAGCTTTACTGGGACCCAGTCGCCAACGAGTCGCACAAGGAGCCTTTCTCGCACGACGAGCACGACGACGATCTCGAGCGAGTAGAGCACGACGATGGCACCCTGAAGAACGCTGACAAGAGGGACGAGAATGCTGGCGGCATCGACAGCGGCGACTTCAACGGCGCGGTCTGGACGCTGGACGCTGAGAGCAAGGAGCGCCGCCTAGGCCACGAGCGCACGAGGCTAGACAGCGGCGAGATGGGCATCTCAGTGGATCCAGGCGCACATGGCAATCTC